ATTAGCCTAGTAGATATCAAGATATCTTTAAAAAAACCTTTCTTTAATTATTTAAATTTCTTTAAAATAATACAATCGTTTTATAAAAAAATTTACATAGTTAAAAAAAGGTTTTTTAAAAATATCTTGATATCTACTAGTCCAATTTAAATGATTTAATTACTATTAAATACATCTTAACAAGCTCTACAAAAGTCTTAAATTAGAAGAGTGATTAACTTAGCACAGATTAAACATTAGCTAATATTTTAATTTTTTGCTGCAAGAAGATTTTATTTAGATATCAGACAAGGCTAATATCTTGAAGAAATTTAATAGTATTTTGGTTATTTTATTGGAAAGTTTTAAAAGGATTTCTTTAAATTTTGAACAAATGTAATATTTTGAAAAAATTTAATTAATAGTTTTTATTCTATTGGAGAGTTTTCATAAAGTTTCTTTAGATTTCAGACAAGGTAATAATATCTTGAAGAAATTTGATTAATAGTTTGTTTTTTTATCAAAAAGTTTTAATAAAGTTTCTTTATATATTAGACAAGAGTAATATCTCAAAGAAATTTGATTAATATTCTGTTGTTCTATTAAAGAGTTTCAATAGAGTTTCTTTAAATATCAGACAAGAGTAATATATCAAAAAAATTTGATTAATATTTTGTTATTCTATTGGAAAGTTTCAATAGAGTTTTAGACATAATAATATTACAGAAATTTTGAATATTTTACTAAGAATTTCAATGGGTATTTTCTATCTTATATCACTATAAAACTAAGTTAAGAGATATTAGCTATCCAATATATCTATATAAAAATATATAAGAGATATTTGCTAGCAAATACAAACATATAAAAGAAAAACTAGGAAAAGCATGTATAGTAGATCCACTTGAATAATAATTTATACTGTATATCTATATATAAAATATATGAGGTATAAAATATATAAGAAGTATATATATATAGCTATATAAAGTAAAACTAGAAAAACATATATAATAGGTCCACCAGATAATAATTTATCCTGTATATCTATATAAAAGTAAAACCAGGAAATGCATATATAGTAAATCTATCCAGATAATAATTTATTTTGATATACTGAATATATATGAATTTCTAAGTATTTATATATTATATTTTCTATTTATTAGAATTACAGATATATAATCTTTATACTTTTTTAAACCAACAGTACAAGGTGCAGCTACAAATCTTTCTAATATATTATGTACAGGAATTATGTATTTATATTTTATGTTATATAAATCATTATTCTATAATTCTACATTACAAAGTCTATTATTATTTTTGCTAAAACTAAGATGATACCTTAATTTTTTATTGTGTACTTTTTTGTACTAGCAAACATATACAAGATTATGCTTTGTTAACTTTTCTAGATAATCAATACAATGCTTAAAATAAAATCAAACCTGGCTAGGATAAGTTATTATATTACTTTTATTAGTAAATTTTGTAAGTATTCTTGAAGAATTTTCATATCTCTTTGAAAAAGTAAAGCCAAAAACTTCTTCACTTATTCAAATTCTCCTATATTGGTTTATTATAGAAAATATAGCTATCAATCTATCAGATTCTAACTCTTTAGGTAGGATAAATATATCTGTTTTATAAGCATTATTATAATATCTGGTGAGTAATTTTATAAAATTTTAAGAGGTGTATATATTCATTTTTATTGATATAAGAAAGGTTTCAGAAAACAAATCAGAACATGTACTAGTGCTAACTTCTTTTTTTACCAATCTTGACATAGAAATAAAATCTATTACTTCCTTATTAAATATTTCATAAATACTCAAACTTCTAGCTGATGATTTTGGATTTAAAATAGACAAATCTTCAGATAAGTTAGTATTATTACTATTACTAATTAATCTATCAATATGTTTATTTCATTGGATTATATTTATAAGTTTTGGTTCAATTTTTCTATTACTGTTTTTGTAGCTTTTTAAAAATAATAAACATTATTTAAAATATAAAAATATCAACTAAATTATTACTTTTTTAACTATGTTTATCTGGTAATCCATTTATCTATTCATAGCTAAAACACTAGAAAGAATTTAAAGGACCATAATCTAAAGTGCATTCACAAATATGGAGGCTTAAATGAAGGTTAGGGGAATTTTTTTTGGGGCCATATATGTCTTCAATAATTTTTATCATGGCTATCAGATATTGGTGTACTTCTTGCAAATCTCTTTCGTCAATTGTTCTACAGACTAATAGGCTACATGCCCAAATGAAATAAGTAAGGATTTCTCTGTCTGCTTCACATAACAGATCCCAGCAAATTGTAGTAGCATATACAAGGTTAAAAGTCTTCAATTGATCTGCTGTAAACCTTGAAAATCCTTCTCCAGTAGAGATCTTACAAGAGATTCTACCAATGTCTGATGGTACATTAATTTTATCTGCTAATAGCTACATAGTTCTTAACTTCTCAGGAGTTAACTAGTTACCTTCAATTCATAATTTAGTTATGATCCATTTGGCTACTCCAAAAAGAGGCAATGCATTGAGACCACTACCAGAAATCTAACAGAATTGAAGTATGGAAGCCTATATATTTCTGACCATCTGACAAGAGTATCAGAAACATGCTGTTTTCTTTGATCAGCTGTCTTACACATTTTCCAATTCATCGCATCATTTCAGATAAGATGGTGGTCGCATTCTACAAACCAGGAATCCATATTGGAAATACCACCAAAATAAGGTTGATTCTAAACATCATAATTAGCTCTTCTATAGCATCGATAACATGCAACCTTAACCGAAATATGCTTACAAAGTTTTCTTGCTGCAGGTAAGTTACTAGAACAACAAATTACTATGCATTTGATTCTCTTGCCAGATGGGGACTCAAACATGGCCAATAGGTCTATCTCTTCCCAAAGTTCTATTAGCTGATCGATAATAGGTGCCAAGTAGTAATTTAATTAATATAGTTTTGGTTATGATAGCCTAGATATAATAGCCAATATTATTATATTGGATAGTTTAAACCTTTTACACATAATAAATTAACATTATAATTGATCAATGAATATATATAAAAAAAAAATATATATATAAAAAAAAAATAATGAATGTATAAAAATAAAATAAATATAAATATAAAAATTAAAAATTAAAAAAAATTAACGAATGTTTAAAAAAAATAAAAAATAAAAAAAAAAAAAAAAAAACTGAATGTACAAAAAAATAAAAAATTAAAATAAAATAAATTAAAAAATACCTTTCTCGACGTGGAAGATTACATATGGCAGCATATATAACCCTTACGCTATATTGAGAAGTTTCAAATGGCTGAAAACAATCTAAATTTATTATCAATCCTATATGGCTATTAGCCGTTTCAGAATGAAAAAATGGTATCTCTTCATTATCAGAAAATGATTTCCATATTCTGCTATCATAAATATCTGATAATTGGTCTTTGAAAAGTCAATAGACCCATCTCCTACATGCTTCTTCAAATCCCGGTTGCTGGAATAGCTTTTAAAACTGTTGCTTGAGATTTATTATGGGATAAGTTGATATCGGCTTCCTGATTGCGCTATCTTTTACTCTGACTTTTGTCAAAAGTATTCACTGCATAGTACCCAACTGCTGATATTCATATGGTTTGGAAACTCCACATAGGTACAATTAAGTATTTTCAGATTTTGTTTTGCCTTTTTTGTTATAATGTCTTTCGGGTTATATAATTTGCAACAAGATTCGCATGCAGCGAATCTTGTTGCACAATTAGATATACCAATCACTTTTTTTGCTACATTAATTGAAGTAGGAAAACTATAATATTTGTCATTGTTAATATTGGTTAACAAAAACTGAAAATATTTAATCAAAACATTAATGCTCATATCAGGAAGTTGAAATCTTTGTTGGTAATTGAAAATTCATAGTATAATTTGCAGCACTTCCTTATCAACATTTCAGATATTGGCCTCAGAGATATCATCTACATCAGGTGCATCAAAATTTATTATATTCTCTTCTTCACTCTCTTCCTCACTCTCTTCCTCAGTTTCATAATCTCTATTACTTCTTATGATATCGCTTTTATTATCATCAACAGAAAAGAATAACAAATCTTCACCAGAATAAAATAATGATAATTTTATATTATGAAAACCTTTGGGTAGCTGCTTGACCAGGAACTGAAGATTTTCAGGCTGAGAAAGAGGCGTAAAATTGTATATCTCACTATCCGATAATTCACCACCTATTGAACCAATATCCTGATCCAATAAAGCAACTTCATTTATCATATTTAAAGACCCTTCACTGTTAGAGGTATCTTCTGGCCAATATCTAACTTGGCAGTTTGATATAACATATTTTTTAAGAGGTTTTTGTTCTTGTGCTTCATATTCTGCTTTAACTCTTGGATCTCTCTCTTGACTATTGCATGTATTACAGAAACATGGCACTTTGCTACACTTACATTTTTTTGTTTCTAATATGGTAGGTTTTTTAACAATTCCTTTACTTTTTTTGTAAGTCATAATAAAGGTATTGAATGTTGAATGACAAAGTAATGATATTGCGAAAGGGAGAATAACTATTTTAAACAACACCACCTTAGCCTATTTATATTTAGTTTATTAAGCTTAATAATTTGTACTTTGATACAAATATCTTTTTCAATACATGTATCGGTTTGATGAAATTAATTAAAAGTTTATTTGTTTTGTTTTATTATTAACAGAATTTTTAGTTTCCGAATACTATTCAATATGCAT